AGAAGAGCATTTTGCTTCAGCGAAGGGGAAAGGAAAGGGGAGAGGTAAGAGTATCAGGTTACAGGATGGAGAAGATGCCAAGAGGAAAGGGGAGGCGAGAGGGAGGGAGATTGTGTCCTGGTCAGCTGTTAAGCCATGCAGCTATACCGGACCTCCTGATTCTCCAGCAAATCTGAAAATCTGGCACCACCTAGGTCCAAAAGGTGCCCGATTATCGGAAGCCTACTGTATATAAGGCATCACCTCCTTCCTTCCCCCTCCCCTGCTTATCCTTCTTGAGCAAGCTATACCTTTTTATGATGGTGACCTCCTTTTGAGACGTACAGGAAAAAAAGCACTATATAAGAACTTGGTCTTAAGCGTATACAATTACAAGCTTTAAGTCATTGGAGATGGGCCTTTGAACCATGCACACCCGATTGGGGCATTCATTTTCACCACCAGGTCCCCACCAATTAAAGAAGAAGGATTCAGTACAGGTCTGTTTTAAGACTGGTGGCTTTAGAGCCGCGAATTACAGTTTTTGGCAACCCCTATTTCCCCTTTGTTCACACTTGCTTGAATTTTGTATATGCATAGTTATTAAATAATGCTTAACACTTACAATAACCCTTTATATCTCCAAAGTGCTGTACAAACACTAACTAATTAAAGAGACACACTCAACCTAAAAATAATGCTTCTGTCTGAAATCTGATTTTTCTCTTAGGGCCCTTACAAATAACACTTGAGACTGTTATGATAACAAGAGCTATGAAGAAAACAAGGGGATAATTTTCCCCCCTTCCTTTTTGTCAAAATTTGGATTTGATGGAAATTTTGGGACCAGCTATAACTAACTGTAAAAGAGAATAAAAGAAAAATAATACTCCTCAGTTTGCTTATTTTGTACCTTTGACAGTACTTTGTATAGAGTCATTTTGCATGCTTCCTGCCCTGCATAGTCTACCAGTCCATTTCCCCCTTTGGTTTGTGTGTGTGTTTCATGTAGAAAGAAAAAGAGAGGAAAAACATGGGGAAATGTGAGTTCAGGGGCACAGAAACTGTCAGGGTTTTTCCAGGGTAGGTGTGAAGTTGGAAACTACTTGAAATTCTCTTTTGAAACTGACTATGGTTCAAGGTGGTGTTGGGGCTCAGAACACTCCTGTGAGATAAATAATTTAGACAGAGAAAGGTGAAGAGTGTCCAGTAACATACAGAAAACCAGCTTTGGCCTTGGGGTGGCTGGGTATGACTTGATTGAAGGCAATGTAATGGCAGCTATTTGTACCAGGGTTGAATTTAGCCCAGAGAGTGAGTGGCAGAGCTAGGATTAGACCCTAGTTCCCAATTGCCAATCTTACATTTAGTGCAGTAGATTATGCTCAAGAATGTTTATAAATCTCTGTGGCTTTACAGTTTAAATCTTCAGTACATCATAAAATAGATAGCTGTCTCTAAATTCCCAAGGCAGAGCTTTGCAGTTGTGCTATGCAGAGACTAATGCTTGGAGTTATGTTTTGTCTTTGCCTCCTGTTGGTTCACCCCCTCCTGCCCTTTTTGCTTTGAGACATAGGTTTGACCAAATCTAGAAACTCAAAACTGAAGTTTAAACAAATTTTGCCTGATTTTAGGTTGAATCCATATGATGCTTTGAGGTTTATAAGTTGTCCATCTAAACATGTATGTTGTTTGGAGATAGCGACCAAGTTTTAAAAGTTTGAATCAGGACGGTTAAGGCAGAGTCTTAGAGAAAAGTTTTATTGAGAGTTGAGCAGTTGTTTGACCAGTGGAAGCTCAATGATGGGTGGAAGCTACCAGCAATTGCTTTCTCAGCCAAGAACATCTTTTCCCACTAATGTGTGTAAGAGTGAGCCCTGGCTTGATCATTCGTTTTGGGGGCTGTCGCAAAAAGGGTTCCAAAATTGAAAGTCAGGTCCTGAAAAGAGGGAAATGGGTGGATGTGAGTGGAGGATGATCATCCCATGTTTAGAGCAGGGTGGAAATTGTGTGAACCCTGGGAGATGTTTTGGAAAAACTTGGCTTAAGTTTAGGGTTGTTAAGAAAAGGAGAAACTAGGCAAGTTTTGCCTCATTTTGGGTTTTATGTAGGTTCAAAGTTTGGGAATGTTTAAATCTGGGGGTTTGATTAACTCTTCAGAGAGAGTGGTAAGTTTACACTTTGATCTAAAATTGTCTACAATTCTGAGATGTTCAGATCTCTAATTGTTTGGTTTTGGTTTTGCCTGGTTTCAAGGCTTTGGTGAAAGAGCCAGAACTTCTAAGCTCATGTCCTTAATTAATTTTTGTTTTTTGGAAAATAAAATGAAAATGTACATGCTTCATTTAAGCATCATTGCTTTGTGGTAGGGCTGGGAATGAGAAGCTCAGTATGCAGGCTGCCCTGGGGAGAGAAGACTATTCCAGCTCCCTCTCACTGCAGCAGCTCGGGGCCAGGTGAGAAGCACCTTTCCATGCTTCTCTGCCAGAGTAAGGAATGCAGCAAACTGTGGACTTTTCCTTCTCTCCTTGATGAAGGGGAACAGCAAGCAATGTTCCCTTAGGACCTGGGAGAGTGAGAGGCTTGGGGCTGGGGCAGTCCCCAACCGGGAAGGGTGAGCCCACAGCCAACCCCTTTCACTTGCCTGGTGATTCTGTCTTTTTTCTGTATGGTTTTCTGAGAAACCGTCTCATTCCAGGCACATGCCATTTTCCTGGCACAACCAAACCCTTAGCTTGCTTTAAGTTATGATAAGAGGAAGCGGTGTACTGAATGTGGTGGTCCTAGTTCTTACCATTTAGGAGGAGTTCTTGAACAGACATACACAGACAGACCATCTCAAATATATAGTAGTTGCGGGAGGGAGAGATCGGATCAACAGTGTCCTCCAAATCCATTGCCAAGGGAGGATGTCAAACTCTTGTAGTTCCTTCTATTTGTCTCACTGCTTAAAGGGGAAATTGAGGTCACTGCTGAGTTGCCGGAAGTGCATAACAAGAAGTGTGTGGGGTCCCAGCAGCCACATGAGTTGATTGTGCTTTAAGGTCATCCCTGAGAGGCAGAGGTGACCACTGCAGGAATGAAGCACAGCTTTGGAATTAGCTACACTTCCAAAGAAAGGGCTGCGTAAGTATTCAACACCACCCCCAATTAAAGCAATCAGGAGATGTGGGGCAGATCTCAGTTATTGGTGAGAAATAGGCATGTAAAATCCCGGTTAATCGGTTAAACCAGGATTTTCCAACCTATGGGTCGAGATCCAAATATGGGTCACCATTACATTTCAAAAGGGTTGACAAGTGTCTCCCCAGGTGGCTCTGCCCCCTCTCCTTCCCCCGTTTTTGAATTGCCTTGTGTCACCAAGTCTTCCTGAATTGTCAAAATACGTCCCCATCTGGAAAAGGTTGGGAACCGCTGGGTTAAACCTTAGGTTTTATCGGGTAACCGATTAAGTGGGGTTCCTGCTCCCAGCTCCTGCTCCCAGCCCCCCTGTGTGTGGGGGCAGCTCCTGGGTACCAGTTAACTGGTTACCCATTCACAACCCTAGTGAGAAACCGACTGGGGGGTAAATCAGCCCTTGCAGTCAGAGTGTCTACTTCCCTTTACTCTGATATAGGCTTGAAAGAGGGGGGACATTTTCCAAAGGTGAACAGCTTGCAAGGCTGAGGAAATGTGCTATTGTGATAAAGAAGCCTTTGACTGCCGTGAGGCTTCGTTAATTGCTGTAAAAGATGAGATGTTCAATAGTGCCATCAAAGGCCTTCAGTCTTCCGTTCCACCTGGGCCTAGGTTGTAACTTTGACTTTCTGCTTTGTGCCACAGTGAAAGAATACCGTATATACTCGAGTATAAGCCGACCCGAATATAAGCCGAGGCACCTAATTTTACCACAAAGAACTGGGAAAAAATATTGACTCGAGTCTAAGCCTAGGGTAGGAAATGAGGCAGCTACTGGTAAATGTAAAAAATGAAGATAGATACCAATAAAATTACATGAATATTTATTTCAAAGAAAAACAATAACCTAGCTCTGTAAGTGGAAAAGGGGGTCAACAAAAACAATATGGTATCAAAAATACCGTAACTTTAAAAGTACAACAACCTTAGCTCAATCAGCAACCAAGCTAACACACAAGAGCTAAAATCCTTCAAAACTGGAGTTCTCCTCCTCATCATCTGTATGTCCAAACAGAGCTTCAGCTGGTGTGAGGTTATCAGCATAGACATTGTCATCATCACTGAGTTCACAGTCATCACCATCACTGCTGTCGTTCTCATACAAAGCGCTGTCTTCACTGCCATCCATAGCATTACTAATGCCACATTTCTTGAAGGCGCGTTGCACCAGGTCCTCTGGAATCTCTTCCCATGCATCACGAACCCACTGTGCTATCAATTCTATGTCTGGCTTCCTCAGATTTCCAACTTTTGTCAGTCGAGCTTGACCAGATGACATCCATTCATGCCACATCTTTCGCACACGGTCTTTGAAAGGTTTATTTAAACACACATCTAGGGGGAGCAGGAGGCTGACTCGAGTATAAGCCGAGGGGGGCATTTTTCAGCACAAAAAATGTGCTGAAAAACTCGGCTTATACTCGAGTATATACGGTACTTCAATTTTCCCTTTGTCGTCTTTGAAAGTCAAAGATTATCATTCACAGATGTAAAAGATGGTCCTGTGATTGAGGTGCTAAACTAGGGCTTTGTCTATACTTACCAGTAAATCGGCACTTCTCTGATTTGATGCAGCGGGTGTTGATTTAGTGGAGCCATTGAAGACATGCTATGGCCAAGTGCCAAGGGCCGAGTGCTTTCCCATTGACTCCAGTATGCCTGCTTCCTGAGAAGAGTAAAGTAAGATGATGGGAGACTTGTCTCGCATCAATGCAGCATGGTTTAGACATCGCAGAAAGTTGACCTAAGCTACATCAACTTCAATTACGTTGTTCTCATAACTAGAGTAGCATAACTGATGTTGACTTACTGCGGTAGTATAGATAAGGCCTGGGACTCAGGAGTTCTTGGTTTTATTCTTCGCTGTGCCACGGATTTACTGTGTGACTTTAAGCAAATGACTTCATCTCTGTCTCCATTCCACATCAGTAACATAATACCCTCCCACTCTTTTCCTGTCTTGTCTATTTAGATTCAAAACCTTCAAAGCAGTTGCCTAGCACAGTGGGATGCCCATGTGATACAAATAATAACACTACTGTGGTATTTACTTAGAGAAGACTATCCTGAAACTTGAGGTATGCTTCTGATATTCAGGGGTGTTTTCTAAAGACAGCGGGTCTAACTTTTGGGACAATTTGTGCTCAAATCTCCTCTGTAGCACCGGGACTCACTGTTGCAACATTGCACTGTCAGCATGTGGTGATGTTACTTGAGTGATGGGAGTGTGTTATGAAACCTTCACAATCTCTAAGGCTATGTCTAGACTACATCCCTCTGTCGGCAGAGGGATGTAAATGAAGCACTTTGAAAGTGCAAATGAAGCCGGGATTTAAATATCCCATGCTTCATTTACATAATCACGTAATGGCGCTCTTTTGAAAAATCGCTATTTTGAAATTGAAACCACAGTCTAGAGGCAGTTCTTTCGAAAACGGGGCACATTTTTGAAAGATGAGGTTTACAGTGCTTCATTTACATCCCTCTGTTGACAGTAACTGGGTGAAAATTCACCTGAATCAAATTTGATTGTATCCCCACAACTTGAGCCTGGCTCCCTTAAAGACTTGCGAAGGTTCTCAACCCCTGAAGTAATTCTGTGATGTGTTCCAGACAGAAGAGTGGTTTACCACTTAGGGGAGAAACCATAGTAATCTTCATGGATGTGTAGACTGATGCTAGGCAAATCCGAGGGTTCTGAGATATCACGGAAATTTTGCTTAGGGTTTCTTTCAAAGGAAAACTTCAGAGACACAGTGTCACTTGGACCCAGAACTGGAAAGAATTTCAGTCAAATCCCTGTGTCCTGACACTGCTAAGTTTTGCTGGGCTGTAATTAGGAGATGGTGTATAACTATTCCCTGTTGCTGTAACTATCATGACATTGTGGTGATGTTATTGATTTGTTTCCAGTAGAAACTGCTTTCCAAACAGAAAATAAATCTCTGTAGGGCAAAGGATCATGTTAATCCACCAGCAAGACAAAACAGGGGTGAAAGATAGGGGGAATGGGAGTACTACACATATAAAATGGGAAGATGATGGTTGACCAGATCTCAATGATGAAACAAATTTAACGGCAGAATAGTTTAGAAAATTGTATGTCTATAGAAAATGTCCTTTCACCTTACACCCATGCTGCTCTGGTGACACACAGGACACACAGCTCTGTGGTAAAGGCACTTGCCATGGAATTGTTCCGTATAAAATGAGAAATGGCTCAGAACTCAGATGCTACACACTTCTGAAATCTGTTCGAGTCTTCGTGTGGAACATTTTAAGGGATTTTGCAGGGGTTTGTCTTCTTTGATTCAGACTTGGCATTAGTCCTATCATAGCTCTGATCAGCAGCCTCCCTCTGGCTAATGGGACTTAAACAATAGTACTTAAGAGGGAAGTTACTGTGTTAAATAACAAAGTCACATAAAGAATTTACCTCCAGCTGTGCGTAACCATGTTGCTATAATTCCATCAAGGCGTGCTGACAGTGACATCAGAAATTGTGAGTGCCAAACTACAGTGTCTTGTTGATCTCCTCAGCACTTACAGATTTGTAGCCTTAGTCTGTGTACATTTATAGAGGGTTGTTCATTTCTTTCAGTCCCTTAAAAAGGGGTCTGTAAGTATGACAGATGCCACATTGGTGTCCCCTGGAGAATGAAGCCCTCTGCAACTCCATGAAGCAGAGAAGCAATGCAAGCGACTCTCAATGTGTCCGAAACTTCACCTAGATCTGACGAAGTGGGTTTTGCCCATGAAAGCTCATGATGATACTATAGATTTGTTAGTCTCTTCGGTGCCACAGGACTATTCATTGTTTTTAAAGTTACAGATTAGCACGACTGCCCGTCTAAGACACATCTAGGTATGTGAGACTAGTTCCATCTGAGAGTGCGTCTACACTGCAGCATTTTTCTGGGAAAATGGCCATTTTCCTGGAAAAACAATACTTGCGTCCACACTGCCATTGAGTTCTTTCGACAGAAAGTCGAAAGAACGGAGGGGTTTTCCAGACGGTGGTAAACCTCTTTCTATGAGGAAGAAGCCTTTTTCCGAAAAAGCATTTTCGGAAAAAGGCGTGTGTGGACGCACAAGAGGGAGCTCTTTCATAAGAAGAGGCCTCCAGGAAATAACACAGGTGCCCTGGTGGCCACTCCATCCATACTATTCACGCTGTCTTTCAGAAAAGCACATTGCTTTTTCATTGCACTTTTTCTGTGTGGATGCTCTCTTTCAAAATAAGCTTTTCCAGAAGATTTCTTCCAGAAAAGCTCCTTCCGAAAGAAGCTTGAAGTCTAGACATAGCCTTATAGGCTCATGGGTCTCTTGGTGAAGACCTCAACTATGGGTATGAACTACTATGAGCTGTCATTGCTTCTGGCTGTGGGGCCACCTGCCTGTTGAGAACTGGGTGGGAATCAGTGACTTCCATAATGCTGTACATCAGACTCTCACAGTTCCTGCTCAGGGTCTCTATTGGACTGTCTAAATGCTGATGGAACCCAGAGGGGAGCACGCCCATGTCTGCCTAGGTGGCAGTGTGAGCCAGTAATCTTAGGGTGGAGTCGGTAGGTGGAATGAAGCAGGGAGAGGGAAAGGCCTCTGATAAGATTCTATTGAGCCCTGTGGCAGGCCAGGCTGTGGAAGGCTGTCTTGTGTAATGAGGAAATGATTGGTCTGCGGATGATTCGGTGTGCGGAGCTCTCCCACTCTGCTCTGAGCCGCCAGAATGGGATGGTTGGAGATTGCTGGTGCAGAAAAATCATAAGGCTCAATAGTTTTTCCTTGCTCTGCTAGGGGAGGTCAAAGTGCCCTGCTTTCAGACACGCCCTAGGAGCTGCGAGAGCTGCCCAGAACCAGATTTCACACCCCCCCCTTGGAAGGAAACACATCCTTCCTCACTGGGAAAGCATTAACCCTTAGAGGACCTTCCTTTGGCCCCAACAGGACCCCAGCTGCTTTTCCCTGGACTCTCCCAGGAACTCCCCTCTGCCTTGTTCATATCCACATGCACTCAAAGCACTGCACGCTGGTCTCCCCACTCTGAAAAGCCAGATGCCTCCTCTCCCTTCCTGACTCCACAGAGCTGCTAACCTGCTCTGACCAGCTCCTTGTTTCGCTCTGCTTCCCTGAACGTGTTCTCCTGGCAGATCTTCTCTTTGTTTGTGTCCAGCTTGAGCATTGGGTTGAAAGCCGGTAGCAGAACAGGTGGAAGACCTGGGCAGGGATCTGGAAGGTGTGTGAATTGTTCTGAGCTTACTCTGGTCAAAAGGGGGTAAGTCATTTCGCTTCTCAGGTGCCCTGGAATCTTTCCCTCCCTTCTAGCATAGTGATTCCCTGCCTGACTTGCACAAGTGATTACAAACTGCAGGCAGGGAGCTGTTCCAGCCCTGCAGGGGGCTTGCTACGGACAGGGGCTGCTCTTGTCCAGAGCAGCCTCTGTCCCTGGCGGGCCTGGGTGACCAGCAAGCAGGGGCTACTCTGGTGGGGGCTGGCAGCCGGCAGCATCCCCAGCCTCAGCGTGGGGGTGGGACCTGCTCCAGCTGGGCTAAAACAGTCCCTAGTCCAGGATCCTGCTTTAGTCGGTTAACCGCTGGGCAATCCTAATGTTAACCAGTTAACTGATAAACTGGGATTTTTACATCCCTAATTTCAGTTATCTCTTGGGGCTTGATTCTCGTTAGCTCCTCACCTGGGTAGTGTGTTTACACTTCACGCTGCCTTAAACGACTACACAAAGAAAGAATCTGTCTCGGTCAGCAGAGAGAGTCCCAGGAACAAAGGAGTGACCTGAAGATGGGTCCAGTCCTTCGGCTTGTGAATGCACCTTTACCTATCTCCTCAGCACTTTCTCGGGATCAGCAGGATCAGCACCGACTCACTGAAAGAAATCACTTCCTTATGTGCTGTAAGTGGATATTTATTGGCGGACAGCTCAGTTCATGTTCCTGCCGAGGGAATTTTGGCCAGTGGCAGTTTCTGAAGTGGCAAACAGAAAGAAAAGAATGCAGACGACAGGGAGAACCAAGGTCCATCCAGGAATATTTTCAGGCTTTTTTCCCCTCATCCATTTAAAAATGGCCTCTAGCCAGGGCATCTCTGTCAGGAACCGAATTGTATCTAGTAGACTGTTCATATAAATCAACTATAGTGATTTGCTTAGGATTATAGGTATGGTAAGACTGGGTCAGATCCATGGTCCATTTGGTTCTGTACCTCGTCTCTGACATTTACTGAGTAGCACCAGATACTTCAGAAGGTGCAAGAAACCCTACAGTAGGCAGATGGGTACTAACTTGCTCACAGTGAAGGTCTCATCCTAACCTTCAATATTTATGATTTAGGCTCAAGCCAGGAAGCATGTGGATTTTTTTTTTACCTCCCTTCCAAAATTCCTCTTTTTAATTTTTTGGCTAGCATTAATTAGTACAGTTCTGGATGTTCTTGTTTAAAGATTCTTTGCATCTTGCTAAGTTCATGTGGCAATGAGTTCCAAGGCCTAATAAAAAGTAATAGGGTAAAAAAAGGCAGCACAATATACTGGGAGTCAGATCGTCTGTGTTCTCTTCCTGGTTCTATTGCTGACTTGCTGTATCATCTTGGGCAAATCATTTACCTTGCCTCAGAATGCCTTCTGCAAAATGGGAGTGTTAGTTTTCACTGGTCTCATAGGAGTGCTGTGAGGCTGCATTAATCTCAATGCAATGCTTTGATATTCATGACTGAAAGTTGTTATTATATAGTCTGAAAGATCACATGGTATTTCCTAGGAACTCAGCTACTGGGAGCTCTGTGTTCAGATGGCTGCATGGCCTGCTTTCTATTTTTGTTTCATGCATTACATTTTGGGAGCTTTAGGGCTTATGTCTTACATACTTGGAGAAAAGTGATGTCCAGATTTGTGCTGTTACCTCTTAGCTTGTTTGTATTTTTGGCATGTACAGAAAACATGTTGATTTTGCAACAGAGATGAGCAACCAAAACAAGCAATTCCACTTGCAGACAGCCCAATCTGGGCTCAGAATTATCCAGCAGCTTCTCTCTCACTTCCTCTATCTCCCAGCACAGTCTTTTGTTC